TCATTCAGGAAATTAAACTGTTTAATTAAAACATAAACAATTATAATAAAACAATGACCAGCTGATCAGCTGGTATTTTAACACAGACAAAAGTTGGAGCAGAAATCGGATCCGAAAAATTCCTGCATATTCGTGATCTGCTTAACATTCCGGTTAATTTGAGTACCCACATGACGTGTTTTGATAAAAAAAAAATTTTGGTCGTTTTTCCGCGTTATGGTTGTTTTCCGCGGAAAAAGAACGTCATTTTCGGAATCAGCGTTAAATTTCGAGTAGAATGAAAAAAAATATTCAAAAATCGCATGCAAACCCTAAAATGCATATTTACCGATATATCAAATTAAACAATAGAATAATCAATATTACTCATTCGGTTGTTTGTGCCAACAGATATGGAGTGTAAGTTAGGCCTACCCCTGATGCAGTGGCGTAGATACGGGGGGGGGGGGGGGGGGGATCAGGGGGATATATCCCCCCCCTTCAACCTATAATGGGTAAAAAAATTGTAATAACATTTAAAAAATAATGTTTTAACGTATGCAATGAAATAGTGAATCTTTTTAATTTTATTTCTATATTGTATTAAGCTTGTTTTTCGTAAGTATACTTTCAATATCAGTAAACCGTAAATAAACTGCAATGCCAGTGAAAGTAGTATGGCTTTTGCGCCGAAACAGAGTACAGACACAAGTCACGGAAGGTCAACAGCCTATCCGCCCCTCCCCCTTCCGCCACCACTTCACCTTTCTTTTACACCTACCTGAAATTAATCGTTTTAACGTGAGCAACAAAATAGTTAATCAAATGCCATGCCAATTGTACTAAGCTTGTTTGTTTTTTGTACGTATACTTTCATTATCGATGAATAAATGGAAACAGATAAACTACATGCCGGTAGCAGTGGTGGGGTGGGATATTTGCGCGCCAAACAGACGTGAGTCACCGGACGTTCCGCGTTCAACCGCCCATCGACGACACCCTCCTCCTCTACCCCGTCACCCACACTACGCTTGATCTGTCGTCTGGTGTTAATTATTGTGCCAGTGTGTTTTTATGATTTTCGTATTCCTTGGTGTCTCATGAGTGTTCTGAGTGTCTGTAAAGTAAACTGATCGGGTTTTTCGCCCCGAAAAGAAATATTTGAAGACGTTAGCTGGTGTGGCAATGGAACAACGAAGTTAAGTGATTTTATTACTCGCCTTTGAAATAATTTTTTTTAAATAGGCCAAGTCACGTTATAGTATACTAGCTGTACCCTCGGGCTTTGCCCCGTTTAACTTCATAAGTATTCGCATGGCTCAATCACGTCCTGGTTGAAGTTCGTTCGCTACGCTCACTCACCTTTAGGTTGGAGCTCGTTCGCTGCGCTCACTTGCCTTCAGGTTAGCTCGTTCGCTACGCTAACTCGCCTCCAGGTTGAAGTTCGTTCGCTACGCTCACTCACCTTTTGGTTGCAAATTAGCTGTTGTCATAAATTTAATAAAAATGATAGTGCTGCACCCTGTTGGTAATCCTTGTAACTTTAATGCTATTGAACATCATAGAATAGAACTAACTTGTTTAATTGAAACAGCTGTTAAGATTCATTAATTCATTTTAAATATGAAAAATCATAAGGTTAACATGGGAAACTCCAGAGCCACTGGGGCGGAGCCCGAGAGTCCGATCAGAATAAAAACTACTTAGTTTTTCTATTTAATGCATAAAGAATCAGTATACCAAAATTCAGCCTCCTAGGTAAATGGGAAGTGGGAGAATTAGTGATGAGTGAGTCAGTGAGGGCTTTGCCTTTTATATATTTAGATTACGTTACTAGTCCTGAAAATAAGTGTTTACCGGACGAGTGTGGTCGTTCCCGTGCGAGACAAGGTCGAGTACGGGATTACCATACGAGTCCGGTACACACATTTTGGACGAGTTACATACAATAGTTTACGCCATACTACTAAATCTTTACAAATCTTTATATATGACCACCAACTAAAGGACTAAAAATCACTAGTCGTAATCTCTAAGAGAGGTAATCATTTTGTTTATAAACACTCATTGCCACGCAAATAAGTTACAGTATAATCAGCTGATTGGTCACCGGTAAAACTCATTACAGTACAGTAGTTAGTACGCAATGAAACCCCATTTGATTAAGCTGGTGGCAAACAGCTGTTTTCTGGACTAAATCCTTGCGTGGGAAGTTCGTCAAAATAGTGTTGTGTGGTGTAAACATATTAATCAAAATATTCAGTGTTAAAGGATAGAGAAACATAACGTTAAATGTTATCATATAACGAAAAGCCTAGCCTAAGTACTTTAAAAATAAATGTAATAAAAAACTAGTCCACCTGCAATTAAAGCAAAAAGTTGCAACAAAATTGCATAAAATTCTATTAAGTATTAACACCAGATTTCACTTCCTAAACGCTTAAAAATGGTGTTTAGGGAAGCTATTTTTCTCAAATTTTCCCCGGACCCCCCTTCCTTGCTGGGGGGTATTCCAGTAGTATATTTAATACCCCCCATGACAAGAGGCTATCTACGCCACTGCCCTGATGGATATTTCTCAAGATGTTGCCGTAAAAATATAGGTAGCCTACACCATTACCTTACCATAAACAAGGTAGGATGGATGACAGTTAACTTACAAGTGGAATGAACTGTTGGTTAACTAAACTTAAGCCCACAGCTGACTGTTTTCAACCAAACGACAAGCAACTGGAAGAAACAACTTTTGAACTTTATTAACTCACTCTGATTCTGTCATCGGCAATAGGCCTAGTGACGTAATTTTACTTCACTACAACTAGAACACAAATCAAAATAGGCCTAACTTAACTTACTCATACCGGTAACTTAACTTACTCATACTTAAGTTAACTGTGCTGCGAAGTGCTAGTCTGCTACGCCGTCAAAAGTCAGGTTAAGTTTAAGTGAAGAGAGTAACTTAACATGGTTGATGAGAAGAATAACAAATCGATAATTAAACATAAGTTAATAGGCCTAATTACATAATTGACTACATTTCATTGAAACATTTCATGCGATTCTGTAGTCAATAATGTTTTCTATGAAAGGAATTTTGTCACATTAACTTATATGGAGTTATAGATGGACTGGTGGACTAATCACATGTAAGGAGACGTAGGAATTGGCTAACTCTGGAACTCCCCAACTCGTACGTGTGTCGGAACTGGCTAACCGTCCCAGTCAGGAATTGACTAGGCCCTAACTCTGGAACCCGCTAACTTGATTTTGTCCCGCGGCGGAAGTCGCCTAACCTAACCTAACCCGGCCGTACCCACTGCACGGAGCGTTGCTAACCTTGTACGACGAATCAATCGTACACATATACGTAGAAGTATTAAAAAATGCCAGTGTCGATAAAGATACATTAATTTTTATTGTTATGTTATCGATTGCACTTTCAACAGCACTTTAAAAAACAATGAAAAATCATTAAAAAGTGTTTTTTTTTTATTTAACTGTGCAACATCCAATTAAATGTTTACGATTTCGATCTTAAATACTTATAAATGCACGTATTATTATGAAAATAACATAATATGAAACATATTGAAAATCCAGTAGTAGGCCCTACCAATTAAACAACTATGAAATTAAGCTAAAATACACGTGAGTTCTTAAACACGGATGATAAATTTAATGAATAAATTAATGTCGTAATAAACCAAAACCATTAATTAATACAGTCATTGACCATCGTGACTTTCATAACTAACTCATAAATTTGAAATTAAATGCTCGTCGTTGAAATATGACAACTTACGTGTAAAAATATGACATACAATTCATTACAATTCATAGAATAGCTCTAAATCTAGGCCTAATAGTTAAAACCAAAGCATTTTTTTTTTCATTCTTTGCATGGTGAGTTTCAGGCTGCATTATGTAGGCCTAATGTATGTATTTCCTTTCTATTATGATGTTGAAGGAATTGTTTTATTCAAATCTTAAATGTATATTTTATAATGTAGCCTACCTACTAGAAATTGACGTTTTCCAATGACTTGTGATTGTACCTAAGTTTTAAAGGAAATAAATCGATCTTATGTCTTATTGTAAACCTAGGCCTACTAGTAAAAGCTAGTACAGTAGGCCTAAGTTAGCTTAATTCGAAAATTTGTTGAATTTTTGAATGATAATGTTATATGTTTTAATAACAGTACTTTTTAAGATTGTAAATGTAAACCCAACTAGTAAATAATAGGAGAAGATAAATATAATATTCTTTTATATTAAAACGTGACAGGGTTATTTTATTTCACGATTCTTAATCAAAGACTTGACGGATTTTCCTGATTTTAGTGTTGAAAGAAATATAAATTTAAATGAAAGGTAATGTCGAAGTCATTAGCTTATTTTAGGGTTTCAGTTTTTTAGATGTCAAGTTTTCATCTTTTTGATATATCTAGAAGCCAATGTTCTCATTTGAAGTATGTTTCAATGTAATTTGGTTTAACTAAGTAAACCAAGTAATTTGGTTTATCCTTAGTTTTTTTTATCTGTACAACGTACAACTAAAATTAATAATTAATATTTACTTTGGCTAACATAAATTAAATATCTATTTTGATTGAATAAATTTTGATCAATATAAAAAAAATATATTGAAATAGTATTTCATCTGATAATATAAGTTATGGTAGGTTATCTCCGGAACTCTACCCCATAATGTTAATAGCCTAGATGCTTTGCTGTCTTGATTTACTAAAGCAGGTGTAGGTTTAATGGCCTAAGAGGTTCTTGGAAGCTAGGGGCCATCTTGGGTAGTTTCAAACAGCTGCTGAAATAAAAAAAAAAGTTTTTTTGGCAAAATGGCGGAGCAGTCCGTCAGACCTATGATAGTACTTAAGGGTTAGTAAATGACACTCTCAAGACATTTATGTTTATTTTGAAAATGTTTATTTTCACAAGTAAAAAACTTAACAAATACCGTAATGAGTTAAGTGATTGTTAAGATTTTAAGTTTAAATATTTTCTTTCAGGTTACTATTTGTTGGACACAATAGAGCACCGTGCTAGATATGGCTACTCCTCAAGGAAAAACCAGAGGTAAGTTAAATAGTTTTGAAATAACTTTTAACCTAACTATTATATATAGGATCTGTCTTCAAAATATGCTCTTACTTTTAAAACAAGGTACTTTTTATTAATCCAAATTAACTAAAAAACTCTTAATCTTTTACCCAAAAATAAAGATGGATACCTTAGCGTAAAAAAAATTGTAGCCTAACACAAAATAAAAATACTTGCAGCATTCAAAGTTGAAACACAATATAGGATAGTATTCCACATCCTACCAAAGATATTGAAGATCTACATAACTTTGCCTTTTAGACCTCATAAAAAATATTCATTTAACAAGAAAACTGTAGCGTAATAGTTTATGTATGGAAGGTAATTTATTTACTGTATTGTTGTAGGCTTACATATTTGTTAACCGATTATTTAAGTTGTTTTAGTTCTCCATTATTTAAAAATATTCATTGTAGGCCGTTTACGCCTTAGTTTTTACCGTAGATTTAGTCACCTAATGGGCCTACATAGCTTAAAAACTTGCAAGATGCAGGAAAATCAGTCATAAAGTTACATAGCCTACTAAATAAGCCTAAGTTATTTGGATTTAGTGTGTCTAGTCTCTTAAGTCAGTTGTGTGATTTTTCATTACATGTGCACCTAAGTATTAAAACCTATTTTAATAAAGAAGCCTATTCTAGGCATAAACGGTCTATTGTTAAATTAATTACTTAAGAATGTAGAAACAATGTCTAAGAAAAGTATCTTTTAACAAAACTACTGTTAGTGCTAGAAATGTAAATAGTATAATTTAGGCTATGATTCATTCACCTTATAAGTTAACATTAGGCCTATATCTGTTTCTTAGAGTTTTTTGAAGTCTTTTTCTCCAAGATTTATCTCTTTTACTGTCCATTATCTTTCTTTCCTCCTCTGTCCTTATGTTTCTAAAAATTACTTCAGCATAACTTAAAAAAAAAATTCCTGGAAAATTGCTAAGCTAAACAATGATTTTGTAGGAGGCAGCTTGAATAATCTGCCTAACGGCTGGAGGAGGGAAGAAATTAAAAGGAAAAATGGTACCAGCAAGGGGAAAATTGATGTATATATCATATCACCTTCTGGAAAATCATTTAGATCGAAAAAAGAGCTGGCTCAATATTGTGCGGAGAACAATTTATCTTTAGATATTGAGGGGTTCTTTTTAAAAAAGAAATGCCCTCAGAATTCTGCAGGTAAGAATGAAAGGAACAATTTTCTTGAACATTTTACTAAATGCAGAAAATACAACTGATATTTGAACTAACCTACTTTCACATAACTGTGCCTCTTAAACTAATAATTATGATTGGTTAGTGATCAAGTTGTATTAAAATTATTTTAAAAATCTATCAACTACAGTAGAACCTCGCTAATCCATCACCTACGGGACTGGGAGCATGGAACAGCAAAAAGGTTTGGATTATCAGAGGAACGAGTTTATTGACATCAGACAACATGGCGGCAACTAGAGTTCTGTTGTTCGTTCTGTTAGTTGTCATTGTTGTTGTGTTGTCAAATGAACACAGCTTGTCTTCTGTTATTGCTAGGCTACTCGTTGTGAAATGCAAAGGCAAGCTATTTTGGATTATAAAACGAATGTAAGATAATACTTGGAATTATTTATATTAGCTGACTTCAGAGTATTCCAAATAAACTACGATGTGCCACTCTTTACCACCTTCAATGTAAGTTGAGCTTAGCATCATAATTAACCTCAATTTTCAGAATCAGTATTGAGTACAATGAAGCGAAGTATCGAGTATCGGCGATTCTTTGATACCACTGGTTTCTTTGATTCTGATTGCACTGGTATCGAGAATCAGAATCAGCCCATCCCTATTTAAAATCACAACGTTTTCAAACTTTTACTCAAACAAACAAATTGCCAAACATTGTAGGCCTATAGCAAAATAAAGAACAGAACAATAGAAAGTGTAGTAAGCTACTGCTTGCCATAGGCTACTGCTACGCTAAATCAGGACTGACGAATGATGATAAAAACATTAGATAACAAAAATAACATTAGAAAACATCGCTTATTCTTTCTTTTTGTTCTTCTATTCTTTTTTGAGGTCTTCTTCATCCACCCATTCAACAAGTTAACATCGTTACTAATCACCTAATCACAGGCTACTGAAATGGTCATGGTTACCAAATAGCCAATCACAAAATGTTGTGGACATAGCATTAGCAAAGGCACAGCTGACAGATGTGTAGCTCTAAGGAGTAGACGATTGTCAGTGCAAACACATACCCTTGACCTTGAAGCTTTGTTCAACATTTTTGCTTTTGCTCCCATTTTGTTTTGTCAAATGAACTGCGATAAAAAAATATAATAATGTGTGAGCCTGCTGCATATAAATAATGGGCAGAAATAGTTAAATAAACAATGAATTTCAACACATAAGACTAAAGAAACACATTTTATAAAACTTTCTAGGTATTTTTCTTGGACCATGAGGTTATTATGATAGCGGAAGCCTATTGTGTTGGTGGCATGGTCGTACCAAGCGTGGAGTCAGACCATCCGAGGTCGGATTAGCGAGGTTCTACTGTAATGTAGTTTTGCGATATAAAGCCTATGTTATGTTGAACATCCAAACATTAGGCTAATTCATTGTGTTGATGACTTTGACAACCTTATAAACTCCTAAGTGTGTCATAAAATCCCAACTCAATTATTTGTTACTAAAAAATTTTTATGAAACATATCTGAACCTTGCTTTACGTTAACTGATATGTACCTAATTAAAGACTGTAAATTTGGTCAAGGAAACTTTCCCTATAGCAGTGATTTTGTCTGAGGATTGCAAACTCGGTGCTCAAACATTCTAAAGAAAAGGAAACCTACAGCTTCAAATCTGAATTAAAAAGGAAAAGATCTGTGTTTTCAGTGTTTTGCAGTAGGTACCTGAGGGGTTAAAGAGCTCACATTCAAACCCAAATGTTATTGGTTCGATCCTAATACAGGTCAGCTCTAGACTCAGTTTCCATCGGGCTATCAAACAATTAATTATGCTCTCTAGCTACAGGTTGATGTACGATATTAGAATATCAATAGCAAATAGTTCTCAAAAACCTAACTGACAGAAAGGCATTAAAATAAAAAACTACTAAAACCATAGCGGTGTTAATTTCTGCATCAAGATTACTGACACTGCAAGAAAGCACAACATAGAATAAAAATGAGCGGCAGCAGAGTGCTTTACACCAACAAATAAAAATGAGCGGCAGCAGAGTGCTTTTACACCAACAAATAAAATTGAGCAGAAGCAAAAATACTTTACCAATCAATCACAACGAATAAAATTGAGCGACATCAAGGATGCTTTAAGTTTACTCATCTAATATAACAACCTGACCTCCTCAAGGGTTTTGTTTACACAACTGCATTTCTCAACTAATCTGACCCACAAGCAAAACCTTTTGAGACAAGTCGTCATTTACATATGCCTACTTTTGTGCTCAATGGAATGAACAAGATCTCCCAGATGTAGCCATGGTAAATTAATGGAAATGTGATCGGATCCATATTTTCTTGAACATAATGTTTGGATGTCGAATTGGGGGGGGGGGGGGGTTCGCAAGGGAACCCTTTCATTAGACTACGATCCACGAGAGTCTGCAGTTGAGGAAGGAGCCAATTAGGACTGAGCGTTGTTACTAAATCTAATAATACCAGCTGATTTGAAAATATTGTTTAGTAGATTTTAATTAGTGTCGAAAATTAGTGAACGGGTGATGTTTTAACAGCGCACTAGTCCAGTCTTGGTATTGGCTGCCGCCAACTGCAGACCCTCCTGGACCTAAGTGTAGACAACTAATTTAATTATATAAAAAGAGTTGGGTCTACTAGACAACCCTGCTTATCACTTTCCAAAGAAATTCACCAGAAGACCATCCCAGATAGTTTTTTATACAATAAGAAAAGTTGGATTGAACAGTTTACCATAACATAAAAAATACTTGTAACACCTAATGATCCAGCTTGCAGCTATAACTCTGTGACATGTCCTGACACTGGTAGCCAAAAAAGCACTACATCAAACTTTGTTTTGGATACAAAGTTGAGGAAATGAGGGAAACTAGTTGAAAAATAAGCAGCTGACTGTGTTTTACCTGAACAAATAGAATCATTTAACAGATAAGTTATTGACAATTGGAATTTATGATAGAATCGAGTGAAATTTGCAAAACCACTCCACATCTACTAGTCTACCAGTTTACTTTTAATTTAGCCTTGAATTTCTTCAAAACAAAGGAGGAGAATTCTAATTTATAATCCATCAACATTAAAAGTATAGTTTATTTTATGGACCTAGGCTATACATTTTTAAGCATTTGTTGGTAAACTTTGCTCCGCTTTATAATATGTTTTCAGCTTATAATAGAATATCAAACCATTAAGAATAAGAATATTTATTGACATTGACCAAGTAGTTACATAGGAATTGAATAGACTTTGTTATGTTACATTAAAATTAAAATAAATATAATATTAACAGATTTATGTATAGGCTAACAGAGATTCAAGATTTCCAAATGTACAATTTACTAATTACAAATCTATTTTGATTTCAAACCTCAATTTCAATTTTGTGGTCCATGAATTCTTCTTCCTAGGTACAATGGATTTGCTACGAGCCAATTATACATTTTGGATTTAAAAGAATGAAGAGAAAGTTTGGCTGCCTGAAGCACGATATAAACAACTCGTGGATTGCTGGCTCAGTGTTGGCCGCGCGGTATAGCATCCCCCACCATCTATTGACAGAAGCCGACGCAGCCCATACACTTACAATATAATAATACACACATTTTTAGTTGCTGCTCAGTTGAAATATATAGGGATATATTGCTAATGCATGTCAAACTCTTAACATTTAAACCTTGTTAAACAAATGTAGTCGGGCTTAAATAGTTCAAACGTGTTATTTTCTGCAAGAAAAGAAACAGACATAAAGTTTAGAATATTAAAAAGAGTTTGACATTTTTTGGCTTGCATCAGCAATATTTGATAATGGTGAGTGTATGGGCAGCGTCTGCTACTGCCAGTAGATGGTGGGGGGAGCTAGACCAAAAACAGCGCCCGCAGTGCTACTGAGAGCGCAATCCAGTAGTTCTTTACATAGTTGGCCTGAAGAGGCTTAGGCAGCTTATTACAAAACTCCACACAGTTTAATTTGAAAGAATTTCCTGTAATGACCAGTCTGTGATGAGGTATGTGAAGAGATAGCATTAACTAATTATTCTCCTTTATCATAGTGATTGACCATGGTAGGCTAATTAGTTTCATACATTTACTTACCATATTAGGTTATCAAATTACTTTTGTTGTAGGGAGACCTCCAAAGAACAAAGCATGTACTTGGTGTGCAGAGAGTAGACAAGCATTGAAGTACATCTTACCTACACAGCATGGGAAAAAGGAATTTTGCTCTGAAACTTGTCTTTCCGAGTTTCGCAAAGCATACAATAAGGTACCTTATGGTTGTAACCTGCCTTTTGTTGCCTTTTAACTAGGTACGGACAGGAGTGTAATTTTATTTTGTAACAGGATTTTTTATTTAATTTGATTTTTTAATTGTTATGCATCTAAATAAGAAATAGAACAGAAACGACTGTTCTCATTGGAAAGATTTCAGACCAGTGATCGCATGTCTAAACACAATGCTCTCCTAAATTTAACTCAAATACTGTATACAGTATGTAATTAAACGGTCCGTTTTAACAAGTTTTTGGAGATGTCGTTTCAACCGGAAAAGCCGTTATCCGGACTGGCCTTGGTCCCGAGGAGTCCGGATTGGAGGAAGTCTACTGTAGGTCAGTTTTAGTTTTACCAGGATCAAGCTGGCAAGTTTTTAGATTTGGGGTAGCCTGTACTGAGAGCTTGTAGCTAGAGTTGTAATGTTATAAGAAATGGTTTACTTTAGACCAGTCAGGATTGAACAGCCAAACAATCTATCAAAGGAAGTCTGCAGCACTAGCTGTCTACTCGTAAAATTTTTCTCATCAACCACAGTGCTAATAAAATGTTTGTGTGTAGGGAGTCTGTAACCAGTGTGACAATGCTATACAAGGCTCTCCTGTGGGGTTCGATTTGAACAGCCAGAAGCTCCACCACAGGATGTCTAAAGGGCTATATTCAACTCAAATAGAACTGGCGGTTAAATAATACCAGCTGGCCTATTTGAAAACATGACCTTGAACCGCCAGTTCTATATGCTTTGGCTGTAGCTGTTTACAAATAACATTTTTCTGAGCAAATTTGAACAACCACAGTGTTAATAGAGTATTTGTGTTTGTGTGCAGGGAGCCTGTAGTCAATGTGACAATGTTATACGAGGCACTCCAGTGAGGTTCGAACAGCCAGATGCTCCACCAAAGGACTTCTGCAGCACTACCTGCCTCCACAAACACCAGCGGGAAGCTTTGGGAGAGTTAAATGGAGGTATATGATCTTAAACCTATGACAGACAGATTAATGAATCACCATAAACACTGCCACCCTGGTTACAATTTATAAATATTACCAGTGCTGAATGCAGAATATCTCAATGAACAATTTATTTTTTTATTTTTGTTATGTATACAAATATTGTAAAACCTCATGAATAAAATAATACCCCCGCCACAGCAAACCTGCAGACTAAGCGAATTTCAACTCGTATGATTACATTTTTACTAAAATATTTCCATAAATAAGACATTTATTCCCAATTTAAATAACATTAGATTTAACGAGTGCTTAGGTTTGCTGCTACGGGGAAGGTAAAAAGTGTTTTTTGACGATACGTCAATAATATAAGATGAAATGAATAAATTTGCCAAATTTTATCAACATATATCCATAAACAAGTCAACTACAACCGTTTTAACTTTCTCCATAAGAATAACATCCGGGAATTTTAAATTACACTATTTTTGAATTTTCTCCGTGACCGTTAGCTCTGACTATGCCTTTAGGCATGCAATAGTGCTTCAATCCCTAAATTAGGCTATTTCTTTTTTTAAGCTCTACAAAACGGGTTAAAAAGAAATTGCAAATTTTTTTGTTTTTAAGGTAAAAAAATGGGAGAAACCCATTTTTACCCCCATAAACCCCCGTTCCCATGGCCCGATTATGCTGGTTCGCGAACTCGTTCGAATAAACGTAGGTTTATACGTTTGTACCAAATTTCATCAAAATTGGATCATTTTTGCTCGAGTTATCGTGCTAACGGACACATAAATATATATGAATTTGAATGAATAGTGTTTTTGGCCTCTAGGGACCTCAAAACAAAAAATTAAATCGGTCCCGGGTCCAGGTCTTACCATGAGTACTATGGTAATAGCTTATTCCCTATATGGGAAATTCGCTAAAAATTAACCTAACATAAAAATCTTCTTAGAAAGTTAAATAAACTGCACAGTGAATTCAGAATAAACCAAATTGTTCCAATTAACTGTAATCTCAAGTGAGCAAAACATTATCTACCATAATTTAAACTTTTTTCTCAGCTTATAGCAGAAAACAAGTGTAAAAGCAAGTTGTTTCTTACAGGTTCATCTTCCCCCACCACCAGCCCCATATTGCAGCCAACACCAGTCCCAACCACCTTCATATTCAACTGGGAGTCTTATCTTAAGGAGACCAACAGTTCAGCTGCCCCTACAGAATACTTTAAACAGGTAAAACACTTGTGACTATGAACAAAGTTTGTTTGAGTTTATTTCAGTTGAAAATTGTGAAACAACTGATTTTTCTAAAGAGCATGTCAAATTTTAATACAATGCAGTTGACTTGTATCATATTTTTATGTGATGATAAAAGATAAAAAAAATATTATGAACAAGTAGAAAATGTATGAAGTGTGAAAGAAATTTTTGGTTACCTAACTGTCTGTACCAATGCCACAACCGATAATAGAATTGACGTATAATGTAATTTAATATTATTTATAGTAAAAAATTGTAGAATACCATTTTTAATATGGATTGTAAAACTATAATAGTTAACTCTTGGCAATCAGATCGAAATAATCCAATTTGAAAATACCTGAACCTGAATCTCTTGTTATTCGATTTGATCTTAATCAAGGCATATATTTCTATCAAACTATCTTACCCAAATATGATCCAAAATGAAATAAAAGTCTGCTCTCCTTTACTTATTAGTTGTTTTTTTTTACATATGGGTTTCATTTTTATATTATTTTTATTAATCAGAAATTTGTTGTAATCCAACATAAGTTTCTTTTAGGGTTATTTTACTTCTTTAAAATTCACAAAGCTTGTTGATGTGTTGAAAAATGAAATGGAGGTTTTAAAAATGCTTTTAGCATCCATTACGACCATAAACACATCTAATTCTCTCTCACTATTGTTTTTAACCATTATTTTGAGGAGGTTTTCTCAACTACCAATATTTATCACCAAATCAGGAAATAGTAGGCTAATTTTGAATCTTGAATAAACGTCCACTATTGATTTTTCATTAACTAAATTTCAATTTTTTTCAGCACATGCATCCCCCTGTGAATGAGTTCAAGATCGGTATGAAGGTGGAAGCTCTGGACCCAAGGAACTTAACTTCCACCTGCATCGCCACTGTGGTAGGAGTGTTGGGTCCTAGATTGCGGCTCCGTCTCGATGGAAGTGACAATAAAAATGATTTTTGGCGACTCGTCGACTCTAATGAAATTCACCCCATTGGAACCTGCGAGAAAAAAGGAGGAATGTTGCAGCCTCCTTTAGGTAAATGTAAAGAAATTTTTTGATATAAGGTTTTTATCAGTGCTGTAGAGCTGAAGGTTATTGACAGTAAATTCGGTCTCTTCAACTACATTTCATCTTAAGCTGCATTTTAGTTGAACACAGGTCAAATTGATGACAAGCGGCATGAAAAGGTTTTTTTTAAGTTTTCCCTAATGCTTGTCTCAATGTTCAGTTCTTACAGTCCAAACTTTGAAGAATTTTCTGGACTCTACTGATAATCCAAACCCCCATGTCTGAAAGTCTGCCTAATCCAAAGGCATTTAGATCTCTTCAAGGAAGAGCCACCTCCAGCCGTTCTCTGAACTGCAGCTTCTTCGGCAGCAGTTGGACAATGCTGATGAGGAGGAATCCAACCTCCTGAAAGAAATAAAAGGCCTCTTCAGGAAATTGGAGGGAACCTTGAAAGTCCAGACCAATGTCAATCATTCAATGAAAGATGGCTTCCAAAGTCAAAAGAGTGTGTTTTCCAAGTCCTCGAATGAGGGGCTTGAAGAGACTGGGTGCTTAAATTATTACCAACTGTTACTCTAATGGATGCAATAACAAAGTTTCCTTCTTGGTTTAGGATTCCGCATGAATGCATCATCGTGGCCCATGTTTCTGCTGAAGACACTGAATGGAGCAGAGATGGCGCCTTCGAAGATCTTCAAGGAGGAACCGCCGACTCCTAAATCTAACATGTTCCAAGTGGGAATGAAGCTTGAGGCTGTCGATAAGAAAAACCCACAACTCATATGTGCAGCTACTGTCGGTGAGTGTGATAATGGTTGTGTCCAAGTATCTTTAAAACCCCGAAATCTTTATCAAATTTTACTCAGGTTGAGGTTGAGATAACATGTGTGGTTAAAAATCAATGGCAAGTTAATTTAATCAGACATATTTTCATAAAACAGATTGCAAGTTAACACTGGCACTTTTATAATTGGCTGAGGCTTTTTAAATACAGTGTCATTATCTATTCAGGCTATGTTCTAGATGAGGGGAGTTATCTACTCAAAATTCAAAAATTTTCTACCCCTCTTACAATTTCTTATAATAAGTGGCTTAACTTAGTGTATGTAGCTGTCTCTGTGTAACTAGTCTCAGTGTAACAAAATTACGTAATTTTGAAGGTGCTGAAAAAGGGGATATGATTCATGTGACATTTGATGGCTGGAGGGGAGCTTTTGACTATTGGTGTCGTTATGACTCGCGAGACATCTTCCCTGTGGGTTGGTGTGCCAAGAGTGGACACCCCTTACAACCTCCGGGACAGAAGAGTGAGTATACACTGTCGAACAATAATAGGTTAAGACAGAACTTTAGAGTAGTCAATGTATTTTACAAATGACAAGGTTATGGCAAATTTTCACCATGGTCTTCCTAGAGGAAATCGAAAACATTTTCTGTAGTCACATTGAAAGCGTGAATGTCTTCCCTAGTCCTTAAACATCTTCATCGTTTCCTGCGATCACAGGGTACCCGTGAATATCACTCACAATCGTGGGTGAACTTTTGATTGAACATTTTGAAGAACATTTCTGTGATTATGAAAATAAAAGCTTGTCTCAACTCAGTAGCTTCACGGACGGCGACGCATAAATCCGCCTAAGTCTTTGGCGATAGAGGACCATAAATGGTTTATTTAATGGTTTTTATGTTCCGGACGGGAAGGGGATAGATACCAAGGCGCCACATTGTCTCCATGGCGCTGCATTCTCCATGGCTGCGCTCTCTCCCGCGCCTCCCCCTCTCACGTGCACCACCCACCTCTCCTACGCTCCCCCCTCGATGTTTTGCGCTCTACACTACATTGTCTTTATTTATTGTTTGCATATTGTTCTTTATTTATTGCCTAACGTTGTCATGATCATATCTTCAAAGACGGGTGGCGGATATATCCGCATAGTTAAAAACAAGTAAAAATTTATTTTGACAGTATGAAGTGTTCCATTGTGTTTATTTTATGTATACTTGTATAACAAAACACAAATAAAGAAAATTTATTTTTTTCCTATAATTTTTTCCTATTCTGTCACCATTTCGCCCATCCGGGAAGGGTTAAAGTATTAAAGTTCAATATTTACTTAACCGTAACTGTGCTGATGTTAACTGTTTGAGAAATGTACTGTAAATCCCTGTTTGGGGGTTTGCTGATTTGGGTCTTTATTCTGGTTTTCCATGTTACAGTTGCTACAGGAGCCAGTAGGTTCAAGACCAGAGTGTGCAGTATACCTCCTACTACAGGGGCTCTTGATGGTTCACCTCCACCTCAGCCGTTTCCTAGTGAGACAGTGTCCTCCACGACCAACAAGAACCCTGCTACTGGTACGTGCTACTGGTGGCCAACATTTCAAATGTCTCAGGGGTTGAGAATTGTAATCCTTTGGGATTGAAGGGAATATTTTTCAGTGTCTTAACCACTCTGATAGTCAGCAACTCAAAAAATTTCCAAAGTTTTCCTTGTTTTGAGAGCCAGTTGTACTGAATAACATGGACACACTCAGAATGCTCAGAAGCCTAGAAGCACTGGTAAAAAACATGATATTAAATAAAATATTGTTTGTCTGCTTAGTAGTGATATCTAGTGAAAAATTTTGAAATTAAACCTATTCCAAGCTAATTGGAAAAAGCTTCTTAAATGGCTGAGCTGGTTCACTGAGTGTGTGTCCCTGACAGCTGAATTTGAACTAATTCTGATATGTTTGTACATAAAAACATGGGTAATTTAAGTTTACTGAGTGCAAAGGGTTAAGATTGGAAGAACTCACTAATCACAGTGCTGTCCAGTTTTTTCTTTATATTGTTCCTCGTGTTTTTTACACCTGGTTTAACTTCTGAGGTAAAGAAATTCACCTAATGAAATAATCTTCAATTCTATGTTCAAAATGTTCAAAATTTGTAGGATTATTGACAGAAATACACAAAAACTAATAAAACCGCCTCCAATTAGGTGTCGTTATAACAACTTACAAAATTTAAGAAGTACTAGACTGATCAATTTCAAATGAACGTTGTTGATTTATCAACACGTTTCACTGCGCATGATGAGTAATCTCGTCACTAGTGCTTTCCAGTGGCGCGCGACGAGTATACTCGTCAAAGGGCCGTTTACAAACTATTTTTCCAATGCGAGGTTAGCCACTGCCGTTGGACCTTGTTTTGCTTGCCGCATATTGTTCCAGTGTTATATTTCAATCTGGTATAATTTGTTTTCAGATCCAACTATTTTATTGGTGGTAGGGACCATTACAAATTTATTCTAGTGTAGGGTTTAGGCTTGAATCTAATGACATGCAATAGAATAACGATAATGATACTGTAGATACTGTAGCATTGTGGAAGGGACCTAACCTCAAAATTGTGCTAAACTGTTTGTTGCAGTTTTTTTTATGGATGTATCCGGGTACTTCAACCCTGGATTTTTCCCCCATTTGGCAATGCTGAGCTAGCAGTATTGTTTAGTGCTGCTATATGTTGTTTTCTTGTAAAACTAAGTTCACAACAACTGGGACGCAGTATATGCCTCTCATTTGGATGAAACTAATTTAAATGTTCTCGCGCACTCATCCACACAGCACATTTTATCTGTTTGCGCCAATCTGGTTGAGACGTAGGAATTGGCTAACTCAGGAACTCGCTAACTCGGTCGTGTGTCGGAACTGGCTAACTCTGGAACTGGCTAACCGTCTCAGTCAGGAATTGGCTAACTCCGGAACCCGCTAACTCGATTTTGTCTCGCGGCGGAATTCGCTAACTCTGGAAGTCGCTAACCCGGACGCGCGCACTGCACGGGGCGTTGCCAACCTTGTACGACAAAATAATCGTACACTGCCGTATTTCAAAATGTCAGTGTCAATAAAGATAGAGTAAATGTTATTGTTTTTTGTTATCAATTCCACTTTTGACAGATAACTAGCCCAAAGTAATTCAAAGATAATTAAAAAATCATGAAAAAGTGTTTTTTTTTTTATTAAACTGTACAATGGCCAGTTAAATGTTTATGATTTCGTTCTTAAATATAAATGCCATCAGTATTAAAGAAAATAATAGAATATGAAAAATATTAAAAATTCAGTTGAATTGGTACTAAATAATTAAACCTCTACGAAACTAAGCTAAAATACACGCAAGTTCTTAAACACGGAAAACAGATTTAATCGTAATGTCGTAATAAACCAGAGCCATTCATTAATACAGTCATCAACCATCGTAACTTTTATAACTAATTCATAGATTTTAAATTAAATGTTCGTCGTTGAACCGTCCAACTTACGTGTACAAATATGATGACATAGACTAAGTTTTTATCTAGGACTAATAGTTTGAACCAAGGCATTGTAGGCCTACTAGTAAATAGTTGCCTAATTCTAAAATGTGTTGAATTTTTTAGCAATAATGTTACATGTTTTAAAACCGTTTTTAAATTTACACCTAAGTACCACTAGTAAAAAATAGGAGAAGATATAATATTCATATAATAAAACGTGACAGGGTTATTTTAATTCACGATTCTTAATAAACGAATTGACGGATTTTCCTGATTTGAGTGTTGGGTTTCCTTTATATTGCTTTCACAATCGATATAAACTATACCAAGCCGCTCGGTTCACCGTTACCCAGTACTGAGCTACACAATAGACAATAGCTTTGTTTTTGGATAAGATCAAGTAATTTTAGCTATGGTCACCATTCATAAGAATTGTAACAAACAAGAACGCCTGGGTCCATTTAGAACCAGCCTGTAGAAAAACTCCAGACTTTTAAAAAGTAGGCCTACGGAAAGACGTAAAATTAATATTAATTCAACAAAATTAAGAGGATGACCACCGTACACATTCCACACGTTCCTTTCTACACTAATAGCCTACGATAAAAGAAATTTACAAGTTGTATTTATGCATAGACTAACTTTTAATGCAATCCATGAATACATTAGGCCTACCACTTTATAATGTATTGATAAATATTTATTTAAATTCAATAGCTCTATTTAAAAATACATTACCACTACAATGTAATTCTTTAATGACGTTTAATGTGTAAATTTTATATTATGATTCAAGGTTACAAGCACAGTATAGAAAATACGAACTCAATAATTTTATTTGCAGAAGTTCACAAATGGTATTTATTCGAATAAAAGAAACAAATGGCGGACACCGAAAATAGATATTTCATAACATGTAGATCCAAATTAAATGTGCATTTTTATCTTTTTGCATACCAATAAGCTACTATTTAAGTAAGAAACCCACATATAAATCATACTCCCTTATATACCCTTAGTACATTTCTCATCCTTGTGGATCAGCTGAAGACAGTTTTATTGTTAGTTCTGTCCGGTGCACTGTCTTTAGAGGTCGTGTTTTGTTTACAACTGTTTCTTGTTTTCAGTAATTTAAAACCTCGTTTAACCAAATAAAACGTTCTAATCACAACTAATAACACGTCCCCTAGTTATATAACCAAACAGTAAAGAGCAAATCATGAAGTTAACTATAAAATAATAGAAACACAATTTTGTCGACACTAGCGATCAGTGTCACCGGACATGAACTAGACACGAAAAACGAGCTTCGAAGTTTACAATGGGATGTAAAGTTTACTTGTGTTGGCTAGTCTATGGTAAGACTATAATACATTTTCCACAATAATAATCATAAGAATAATGTTAAACATACTTCTAAATATATTTATTTGATCGACTACGTTGCTCATACTCCTAATTAATCGTAGGATACGACATTATGGTACCGATACGATATAGGTACTACACTTTCGGCAACACTGGCCAAAAATATTCGTGCTTGGCTCCCATTGGACGGCCCGCGAGGCTTCTGATTGGGAGTTAGCGAGTTCCGCCGAGGGGCCGAGTTAGCGACTTCCGTACGAGGACGGAATTCGCTAACCTGGCTCTAGAGCGGGTTAGCGGGTTCCGGAGTTAGCCAATTCCGAAACCGAACAAGTTAGCGAGTTCCTCTCATCGACCAAATTTGAAGATAGGGCGTTTAACATGGGGTTAGCGAGTTCCAGAGTTAGCCAATTCCGCGGACCCATCTGGTTGCAGCCATTGAACATTAATAGCAGTCATAAAACCCCAAAGGAATAAACTCATAGAATAACCAGAGTAAGATATTATTTGAAAACAAAGGACCAGGATAGAAACTAAGGATGAAATATATTTGAAGGATTCTCATTTTAACTCCATTTGACAGCGACACTGCATGTAAACCGCCAGTGTTCGTGTGGACCATACCTAGACCCTAGCAAGGTCACTCAGCTGCCAACACAGTTTGGTCCTGACCTCGTCTCCCATGTGGTGCGGGAGAGTGTTCAGAGTTTGGTGAATTGTGCCTTTGACCAAAAACAGATCTTCGGCATGCTGCGCCAAGGAGACAGTCAAGTGGAGATAACAGGTCAGTTAATAACTCAGTAGATTTAAATTTGTTGATTTTTTGTTTCAATGGTTGAAGTGTAGTTTTTTTTAGTTTTTAAAAAAATAAAATAAATTACCATTCAATAGATAAATAAATATGCTTAATTCATGGTCTTGCTGTATTAAAAGCAAATAATCACATTTAAAATTAAAATCGAAAAACTGTAGCTCAAAATCTTGTTGGATTAGAAGCACATACAGATTGGTTTTCAAAATACCTTTTTAAGTTTTCTTCTCAATTTAAATTTTTTTATTAAAAAATAAATTCAAAATATACACAACTGTTCATAACTTTAACAAAAGTTCATTTCCTTACTCATATAATCAACAGTTCTCTTATTTTACAGCTTCATTTGAAGGCAAGACAGTGACAGTGAGGCTCCCAGTGATAAACAAGCAGGATGAACTTACTAGCTTCCTAGAGATCCTGTTTGAGGAACTCCTGTGTTGTGAGCAGCTCTACTCTTGTCAATCCAGGAGCTCACCTTGTGTCAAGTGTGCCAACAACAATGTTGTCAAGAGAGGTGAGTGTGTATTGTTAGTTTCTATAGATCTTAGTTGAGGAACTCATGTGTTGTGAGCAGCTCTACTCTTGTCAATCCAACAGCTCACCTTGTGACAAGTGTGCCAACAACAATGTTGTCAAGAGAGGTAAATGTGTACTGTTAGTTTCTATAGATCTTAGTTGAGGAACTCATGTGTTGTGAGCAGCTCTACTCTTGTCAATCCAACAGCTCACCTTGTGTCAAGTGTGCCAACAACAATGTTGTCAAGAGAGGTAAATGTGTACTGTTAGTTTCTATAGATCTTAGTTGAGGAACTCATGTGTTGTGAGCAGCTCTACTCTTGTCAATCCAACAGCTCACCTTGTGACATGTGTGCCAACAACAACGTTGTCAAGAGAGGTGAGTGTGTATTGTTAGTTTCTATAGATCTTAGTTGAGGAACTCATGTGTTGTGAGCAGCTCTACTCTTGTCAATCCAACAGCTCACCTTGTGTCAAGTGTGCCAACAACAACGTTGTCAAGAGAGGTGAGTGTGTATTGTTAGTTTCTATAGATCTTAGTTGAGGAACTCATGTGTTGTGAGCAGCTCTACTCTTGTCAATCCAGGAGCTCACCTTGTGTCAAGTGTGCCAACAACAATGTTGTCAAGAGAGGTAAATGTGTACTGTTAGTTTCTATAGATCTTAGTTGAGGAACTCATGTGTTGTGAGCAGCTCTACTCTTGTCAATCCAACAGCTCACCTTGTGACATGTGTGCCAACAACAATGTTGTCAAGAGAGGTAAATGTGTACTGTTAGTTTCTATAGATCTTAGTTGAGGAACTCATGTGTTGTGAGCAGCTCTACTCTTGTCAATCCAACAGCTCACCGTGTGACATGTGTGCCAACAACAATGTTGTCAAGAGAGGTAAATGTGTACTGTTAGTTTCTATAGATCTTAGTTGAGGAACTCATGTGTTGTGAGCAGCTCTACTTTTGTCAATCCAACAGCTCACCTTGTGACATGTGTGCCAAACAACAATGTTGTCAAGAGAGGTAAATGTGTACTGTTAGTTTCTATAGATCTTAGTTGAGGAACTCATTTGTTGTGAGCAGCTCTACTATTGTCAATCCAACAGCTCACCTTGTGTCAAGTGTGCCAACAACAATGTTGTCAATAGAGGTAAATGTGTACTGTTAGTTTCTATAGATCTTAGTTGAGGAACTTATGTGTTGTAAGCAGCTCTACTCTTGTCAATCCAACAGCTCACCTTGTGTCAAGTGTGCCAACAACAACGTTGTCAAGAGAGGTGAGTGTGTATTGTTAGTTTCTATAGATCTTAGTTGAGGAACTCATGTGTTGTGAGCAGCTCTACTCTTGTCAATCCAACAGCTCACCTTGTGTCAAGTGTGCCAACAACAACGTTGTCAAGAGAGGTGAGTGTGTATTGTTAGTTTCTATAGATCTTAGTTGAGGAACTTATGTGTTGTGAGCAGCTCTACTCTTGTCAATCCAGGAGCTCACCTTGTGACAAGTGTGCCAACAACAATGTTGTCAAGAGAGGTAAATGTGTACTGTTAGTTTCTATAGGTCTTAGTTGAGGAACTCATGTGTTGTGAGCAGCTCTACTCTTGTCAATCCTTGTGTCAAGTGTGCCAACAACATTGTCGTCAAGAGAGATGAGTTTTACGTTTTTTTTTTATCCTTGATACTTATTTAATTAATCTTACGTGATTCATTTTTCCCAAAAACACAACTTGGATGTTTGTATATTTAGTTATGCTGAACGTTTCTATACTTGTTTCTACTCTCCTCAGAGTCCGTTGAGGGTGTGAGAGAGAATGGTGCGACCAAACGTCGATGCTCAGCTGAGAGCTCATCAGACAGTCTGGGAGTTGCAGGAGTTCCTATGCCCAGTGCCTCAAAGCTACCCCGCAAGCCTGTTGGTAAGACTATTATTTTATTAACTATCTTATTTTTTATCGTGGCCATATATGGTAGTAAAATTTTACTAAGTTATGCGCCTTAACGCAACCACCTTACTGACATTGGCCTCTTTAAGTAATGGTAATCCTACAATGTAGATGTAACATAATTAATGAGTAATTTGCTCAGTTGTAGTGTACGTACAACTGTGTTTAGTACGTAGTGTGTGTTTGTGTGGGTTTCTTAAATGGCAAGAGTTAACTAATATTTTGATGTAATAAAAGTTGTAATTTACACAAAAAATATTGAGTGATTACTTGTGTTGCAGAACAAGAAGTGGCCACCTCTACCACACAATCTGAAGGTCCTCCCAAGCTACCAGCAGACCCCAGTGAGTGGACCGTAGAGGATGTCATCTCACACATCTCCCACACAGACCCTGCGTTGTCTGTACATGCTGACCTCTTCAGGAGACATGTATGTGTTGTTTACGTAGTATATATCTAATACTTGATCGACTAAGTAGATTAGTCTTTAGTACTTTTTTCTAAGCAATGCAATTTATGATATTATGGATAGAAAATGGGGGAAAAGTAGGGATGAACAGGACCTCAGGGTGGCCAGGTACCTCAATCTGATTCGAACTGAAATCTTACCATCCGCACACCTCTACTCGATGATGATACCAATGTCCCACAACCAGTGGTATCGAGAATCAACACATCTTTGCCGGAAAGCGTCTTGTTTATTTTTTTCCAATCTTTTTTCAACCCTACTGAGTAATCAGTTGATCTGATAGAGCATCACTTTGAATAAATTGTCTGCTAAACACACGTCACCGTGCAGACGATTCATTAGTTAAGACACCACAACAACGTAATTTAACTTGCAATTTAGTAGTTGAGTAGTTCGTATACAGCTTTCATATAATTTGTTCTACTTTAGAAAATGTAAATAAAAAATTACAAAAAAAAAAAACACCTTAATAACTTATAAAGAAGACAAAATGTTTTGTATGTCGAGTAGAGGCTTCTTGGTGGTTCTCTGGGCCAGGGGCTCTCCGCGATTTTCAACCTGAGGACCTGGTCAGTCTAGGCCTGATTCTGTATCCGGTTCCTACATCTTTGTTGAATACTGTTGGTGAATGAGTAGGTTGATTTTAAATCCCATCAGATGATGACACAAGTTAGAACAGAATCTTTCAGTTGCTCTGCTAATGCCTGTGTCTATTTGATTGTCTCAGGAGATTGACGGCAAAGCCCTGCTGCTCCTCAACTCTGACATGATGATGAAGTACATGAACCTCAAGCTGGGGCCGGCCCTCAAGATCTGCAACTTGGTCAGCAAGATCAAACACAGCGGCCGCCGCCACTACCTCCTGTGATACGTATAATTGGTGCCACACTCTCAGGTATGTTTTTGACTACTCTACGACCTTTAACTGGCCAATAAATGAGCAGCATGCCAAAAAATAAAAATTATCCATGCAAAATATCTAACCCTACGTAATATCCCCTTTTCTCACAAACAAATTGTTTTCTTTCTCTTGTTAACAAGCCAACTTGTGTAAAATAGTTTTTGGATATAGAGTTTTGATACCCCGGAAGGTGTTTATTTGTCCTCATAACTGCTTTTAAACCTTCTGTTTGTGTTTTCTGCATAGATTCTCTAACATTGCCGGTAACAATAGTCAATCCTCAACATAGCATTGGTATTATGCCTTTAGCGACTTCATATTTCCTATTTCTTGCGTATCCAGGAGGTCCTTCTTCCATCTGGAATTCTCTTCTGTACTTGTTTAATCATAGCCTCATCTCCTTTTCTCCTCTCCATTTTGAGGATCTAGACATCTGATGGGTATGCTTCTATCTTGGTTGTTCTTTTTTTAGCTTCATCTCCCCTCCTTGTTTCAAGACCACATTTTAAACATTCACTTTTAATCATGTCTAGTGCTTAAAAACTGATTCCATACAGTAGTTAACTATTATATTCTGTTTGTTGCAGGGCTGACTTGTACCTGACTCAGTGGTCCCTGACCATTGGCTGTTGACTACTTTAGTCAACAGTGTGCTGCCGGTGTATATAGCTGTCTACAAAGTATATTATTTGCCTTTCACTCTCGCTGACTCAGCCCCACATGTATTCACATGTATTCATATTTATTTGTTATAGTATAGTTTGTTTTTCTTTCTTTGAGTTTATTGATACAATATTATTTTTGTTGTGAGTTGGTGGGTATGAGGACTCTGTTACTTTTGAAGTGTTGAAATATTGTTTTCCTAATCAAGGTTTGGTATTTAACTGAATTGACATCCATTTGATGGGTGGAATGGTCATTTTTTTTTAAGTAATCATGCCCACTTTCTTAATGTTTGATGATCTTAGGGATTAATATTTCTTTATAGTACAGTAAGATAGTATACATATGTTTTTTATTCCTAGTTATTATGATGTTTTCTAAAATATTCATCCCTAGTTGGTAATACTTTTTTTCATTAAAGTCTTAGGACAAAAACACCTTGTAAAAAAATACATTATATGTACATTATAAATTGAAGGTAAACAGTTTAAATTAATGTTCATCAAGAGTATATTTTCGGGTTTTTCGGCACCTTATATTTTAGGATTTAAGTATTTTCTATGCATTAGTTAGTTATTTATTAATCATTTTAACTTCAGGATTGCTTATATATAATTAATTGATAATGTAAGGTCTTACCTTACAATCCTATTATTGTATTGTACTAAACAATATTAATTTTGGTCCGAACTTTAGTCGGAGTCTAAGTAGACCAAATATTTATAGTAGAATCCACCAGCTTTAAAAACATGAATGGGTTTTGTAGATTAAATAGTATATTCACATTTAACACATTACAAATTACTGTCGTCACGAATATGATACAAAGATTATGGGCAAAAACCATGATAATACTCATCGGGTGCGTTCTTTGGTCTACTTAGACTCCGACTGAAGATGGACCTTTGGGTCCAAAACTAATATCGGATAGTACAATACAATAATAGGATTACTAAGGTAAGACCACATTACCAATTAGTTATTTATTCATAAACATTTAATTTTTTTTTTAACTATGTAATATGAAAATTTTATGTTTAAATGGAGATGATTAGCGAGGATTTTCACCATGAAATGTTTCTAATCTATTAAAAGTTGTTCTGTCTTATCAATGATATTTTGGCTGGCTAAGCCAATTTTTTGTCAGTTTGTTCTTTATAGTTAGTTAGTTTTGTTATAGTATTTGACCATTTACTATGTTTTTTGTAATCCATCAGCTGTAACTATTCAAAATTAGTTGGCTAATATGAAAACCAAGTACCACAAAATCAATGGTGTTTAGTAAATTGGGTTATTATTACTTGCATCGCTGGTTTAACTCCTTTGTTCCTAAATGTAGTAAATTATGTCATTGGAAATGTACCGGATTGGTATGGCAAGTCTGTGATTGATTTAGATTAGGTTTTTTAAAGACTGAAATTTCTTACAAATTCACTTAAAAATACAGCTTTGACATATTCATTAATTGTTACAGTTTAATATTTGTGTTTAGTATTTAGGTTTAACAATGGCAAAATGAATGTGTTTTATTTAATTGTTAAAATTACCTCTTCTATATTCAAGCAGATATTCTGTAAATTGAAAGGGCAAACAATTTCTGACCTAGAAAGTATTTTTGTTGTAAGAATCTAACGATGTAATATCTTATTTGTAATTTGTAGTCTAGGTCATGTTTCTTATATTACCTAAATTATCCTAATACACATTTTAGTTTTGTTTAGTTTGGGTGTAATTGTTGTATTTAGTTTACAAACTGAATAAATTCTCAAGATGCATACAAACGTAAAGGTGAAATTGTCTACTCAAAATCGTGAAAAGATAGATTTAAAGAGATATTTAAAGTAAGATAAATCTCGAAATATTTTTAAGTGTTATTAAGTTTGTATCAATTTTGTTACTTGACTGGCTGGGTAGCTGAGTGGTGACAGTGCTCGCCTAGCAATCAAAAGTTTGATGGTTCAATCCTCAGAAGTCGGTAGCTCTTTGATTTTTGGAGAGTGGAAACTGGAACAACTGTCACTGATCATTAAGCTTTAAATAAATGGCCATGACTGATGAAATAGCTGATCTTAGTCAGTAACAAAGCCACACAGATCATATTACACCATTCTACACTCATCCTTCTTTCAAATTTAAAATATGCACATATTATCTCCATATCAATGATTGATAGTTTAGTTGATAATTTTAATCTTTATTCTAAAAATTGCTACAACTTGTAACATGAGAATGGAAGCTTTAGGTCTATCAATAGTGAAAGATATTATCTATCAAATGATAATCTAAAATACAATCCAGATTTGTGTCAAACTGATAATACAATGTTTAAGAATGTTACACATATTTATAATAGTATTTATCTTAACATGTGGGTATTTGTAATTCAATGAATAAACATAATCCATGCACAATATCGCACTAGTGATAAAATTATGTAAAATGTACACCAGTTTTGTCACCAATAGTAGACTTAGTATTATTGGCAGGCCATAAAAACATGCTAGCTCATTGCAATGTGATATAAAGTTGTTTTCATTGTTTGATTTGTTTCAAAACATTGTTTTGTTGTTTGATGTGCCAAGTGCTGTTCGACACCTATTATTATTTCATCACAAGTTGTTTAAGGTCCACAGACTTTAGTATCAAGGATTTGTGTCTTATAGCCGAGCAATATTTTTACGCATTTTGTGACAGAAAGTACCGAACCAATCGTACTATTTTTGTATATGAAAATGTATTATGGTTTATCAATCGTATGAGTAGTAAGACATACCAAATGTTGTAAAATTGTGTTACATAGTAAATATGTACAGGAAATGAAATATACATAGTTATTCTGCAATAGTTGTGCCTTTTAATTTATTCCTACGAATTCCAAGGTAAACTTGATTTTTTATGGAATGTAACTTTTTTCTAGTGGGGTTAAGCGATTAAGATCTAGAAAAATGAAGCTAAAAATACTAACTCTGATGATATTTATTCTGAATTAGAGTTAAGCACTGTTTTAATTAAGTTATAGGAAAAATTCAAGAATGTCACTAATAGGCCTAATGAAAATGTGTCTATAGGCCAGGGGCCTCCAACCAATTTGAAAGTTTCTTTAGCGAAGCACGGGTTTTCCGCTAGTACGTGTATATATATACAGGGTGTCCCGGAACTCTCTACCTGTATATATACTATACATATATATATATGAATTTGAAGGGAGGGTGTTTTTGGCCTCTGGGGACTCTAAACAAAAAAGTAAATCGGTCCCGGGTCTAGGTCTTACCATGAGACCTATGGTAATTGCTTATTCCCTATATGGGAAATTCGCTAAAATATAAAAAGTTTGATTTGTCAGTTAAATTTTATAAAATTAAATTTAAAGTATTTTTATAAGCATTAATGTTGGTTGATAGTAGAAAAGGGCAAAACAATACTCTAAACATGTCATTCAAGTATGCGGTTGATAGGTATGCGGCTTGTGGGTTTCTCAAAAGTTTGTGATCCTTATAGCTTTATATAGATGCAGCTTATTTTTATCAGATACTATCTTTAATTCTCTTCATGTGTTTGTAGAGAACAATCTAGATCATAATGTTAAATTGGTTGTTTTCCAACCTGTGCCACATCACGATTCAAATAATAACAAGAGAGCTAAAACATTAATATTTCAGCTATCTCAAAAACTATTCAGATTTTCAGGATAAATGGAAGGGAGGATATTCAAAATGTAAATGGATGGTTGAGAGGAGCTCATTATGGATTCAACTCTAATCTTTTATCCCCGCTCTCCAGATAACGAGGTGTATCCAGGAATAAAACGGTTTACACCTTAAAACAGAGTTGGGAACACCACTTAGTTCTCTTTAATGGTTTCAGCGCTGATGAAGAATCACCATAAATTTGCTATTCTGCAATCCATTACTTTTACCAACTTGAATGTATGAGTAAATTTATTTCATCACCGAGGTCTAAAGTGGCTTTTTTTCAATACTATCTATAGTTTTACCTACGACCGACCGTATTTTAAATTAGCTGTTTCAATTCAGTTCTTAGAATTGAAAATATTCACTTTAACATCATTTTTACTTACTTAACAGTATTTTTTTTTCACTTAACTACACGGTAAAGGACCAATGAGTTTCAAATGTTGAGAGAAAAGAAGTAAAATTAATTGTAATGCTTTGAACTTCAACTAATCAGCTGTTCTGGCCAATTTAATTGTTAACGAGTGGTGCAATTAGTGTTTGGTACAATGATTCACTATCAGTGGCAATCAGAGGTTATAAACAAAAACATAACCTGTCTTAGAGGTTATGAGTTGTGATTGTGAGTAATTAAAACATTGTCATAGGTAAAGCAGTGTACACAACTCGTGTAAATAGTCTTAACAACACTCGTAAAAGTTTTTAAGACACACACCAAGGCTCGTACCTTAAATTTCTACTCGTTAACATTATTGTTAGAACTCGTGTGAAATAAAGAACTTTTACAAAATATTATCTAATAAAGAACTGATTTAATTCTGATACATAACAAATATTTTATATTTCTCTTTAACTAAATTGTTATGTTCTTGATCACTTTTAAAATTCTTAACACAACTCTTCTCAATTGTTTAAATAAATTAAAATAAACCATCTGTTAATTAAAAACAAAGCCTAATAAATAATTATATTGGATGTTGTTCATTATTGAATTTGTACTATATAAAATATAACTCGATTTCCAACATCCTCCCCACCTTGGAATTTTGTTTTACACTATCAAAATTTCAAACAAAACTATTTACATATTTTTTTTTTTTAAGTTCACAAATCCATTTTCCTCGGGAATTTTGATCTTTTTCCCTCTTCTTGTTTCTGTAGAGGTTGAGGAAGAGGAATTATCTTGTGTTTCAACATATACGAGCATTGCAAGATACCTTTTCTTAAATCTTGATCTCTTCGATGTTTTCATCATTCTCTCAAGTTGTTTCCACATACTTTCCCACCATGGGGTGCTTGGAGGATCAAACTTCCAGGATATTTGATTGATCTCTAATTTATCTTTCATGGTTTTCTGATCCAACTGCTTCCTGTATTTCATTACACAATATGGAATTAAATTTACCAAATTTGGACCTGGAGCAAAACATTTGTTTAATGGATTACCTCTTCTGTTCTTTGTAGACCCATAAAACACTGGACGTATTTTAGTAGTTAAGCTACTCTCTTTTATGACTGGGTGATGCGGCAGGTAATGTACCTTTGTTGACTCTGCTGATTCTGGAACATTTTCTATAATCCCTTCTTCTAACCATTCTTTGAAGACTTTATCATAGTCGTTGAATTTGTTAAGGGTATTTAATCTTCTAGTTGATGACATCAAACGTCTCTCTGCAATTTCATGATTGTCTAGAAGTTCAGGATGACCCTCCAACCACGGCAAACATACTTCGTACCTATTCTCAACATTCACTCTTACATTTTCTTTGAAATGTTGAAATAATTCTGCATCAATGGAGTCTCTCTGCTTCACCTCAATAGGGTCCTTGATTCCGACTGTCTCCAAGCTCCATAGATCTTTAATTTCAGATTTAGACTGGCAAAATAGAGTTAGCAGAGACATTTTACGACTTCCTATGCATGGCTGCTTCCCCATCACGGTCCACCCAAGGTACGTTTCGATAGCGACTAGTTTGTCATCGATCTTCTGCATAGTTCCTGTGTACAAATCCACTAGTACATCTGCACCAAGTAAAATTTTAACATCTGGTACATTTTCACCCACATCAGTTAAAATAATGTTCTTTTCTTTTAAGATGTCAAAGTACTCTTCACTCTTAAGCCTAGGAACATGGTTGCAAATTGTTTCTTGATCTGTCACAGGAATAGCGCTAGATCTTGAAAGAGTTATTTACATTCTGAAGAGTCACTAGGTAGTTTTTATGAGATTTTTGTTTTATATTTACACCACCAAACAAGCTATGATTTATGACTTCACTACCTGTTTCTTGTAGACCTAATTTAGTGACACAGTCCTTAGTAATGTAGGACCTCTGTGAACCTGGATCTAAAAGTACTCTTTCCAAATACTCTTTACCTTTCTCGTCTGTAACCTTAACTAATAGAGTTTGTAATAGAGTTTCTCCTGTACCATTTCCAAAATTACTGAGAACCTCTGACTTAGGCTTAGTAGTCCAGTCAATGAATGATCCAAAAGTAGGTGTAGAGTGCGTGAGCAGGTAACTAAGCGATTCCTTCAGAAACTTGTTCAGGGGGCTTAGGGTGTTAACATACCAAAAGTCCTGACTCCTAGGTGGTGAGCCAGGGGGTGGAGAGGGGAAAAAGGGGGGGGAAAAGGTACGCATTTTGGGTTTTTTGATTATATCTCGAAAACTATCAACTTTTTGTATACTATAGTAAATTATAAAATTGAAGAAGATTAAATTTTCTACAAGAAAAGTATATAATGTGTTTATTTTGGTTCAACAGATTACGAGTTATAACTTATTTAATTGATATCTTATTAAAATACTCCTTCCATAAGAAATACATGTAAATTAGTATGCGAAATGAGGCGAATCCTATCCGCCCAAAGGAAATATAACTGATATTCTGGAAATATTGAAAAAATTTCCAGTAATTTGACACTTTAATCATGAAATTTTGTCAAAAATTAAAGCGAGGGAGAGCGTTTAAAAATGGGATGATTTAAGGTTTTTTTTATATTTCCAATAAAAAAACACCAAAACTCAAAATTTTGTTACCTCGCCCTCGCCTTAATTTTGGATCAATTTCAATGATTAAAGTGTCAAATTACTGGAAATTTTGTCAAGATTTCCAGAATATCATTTATATTTCCTTTGGGCGGATAGGATTCGCCCCATTTCGCATACTAATTTACATGTATTTCTTATGGAAGAAGATTTTAATAAGATATCAATTAAATAAGTTATAACTCGTAATCTGTTGAACCAAAATAAACACATTATATACTTTTCTTGTAGAAAATTTAATCTTCTTCAATTTTATAATTTACTATAGTATACAAAAAGTTGATAGTTTTCGAGATATAATAAAAAAACCCAAAATGCGTACCTTTCTCCCCCCCTTTTTCCCCTCTCCACCCCCTGGCTCACCACCTAGGAGTCAGGACTTTTGGTATGTTAACACCCTAAGCCCCCTGAACAAGTTTCTGAAGGAATCGCTTAGTTACCTGCTCACGCACTCTACACCTCATTCCTTGACTGGACTATAGTTATACTCTGCTGCAGTAAGTCTGGTTTGTCAACATCAATTTTAGAGTGAGGTCTACTTTCATATAAGTCCCTACACATGATCCCATAATGCCTTTTACCACAGAAGAGACATTTGACAAACACCTTGCACTTTTTTGCTGTGTGACCTTGCTTCAAGCACACAAAGCAGCAATTTTTCTTTTTCAGATGCTCCTTTCTTCCATCTAAAGTTAATTTTTGAAAATAGGAACAATCTTGAGCATTGTGCCCTCCTTTAGAACAATAAGTGCAGTTACTCACCAACCTTCTAGGACCCTCTGTACCAGTTGTCAATAGAGCTGTTACCGTAGGTTCACTCTGATGAGGTTCATGTACCGTTGACATTTTCCTGGGGCTGCTGCATATGCTGTTGTCTCCTGGAGTGGCAGATTTAAAACTCGAACGAGCAAGAGCCAGCCTCTCTTCACTCTCCACCTCAGCCTTTAGAAAATCAAGAAGTTCTTGTAAAAAATTACTTGATTTATCATCTGACAATGCAGAAGTCGAGAGTGTGTGTGGTAACTTACTTGAACGATGCCGCTCCCAGGCTCGTAATATTTCTTCGGGCAAAGCAGATTCTACAAGAGGATACAGCATT